TCTAGTCTATAACTTTTGATTGAGAAGTCTGATCGAAAAAGTACGAATTGTTTTGGATTCTACGCACCAAAATTAATAAGAAAAAGTGTTTTCCCGAGAAATTTTGGTGCAGTCGATTTTTGGTAAAAAAGGAAGGTTATACACTGCCTTTTTTTGAGCCCCGAAAAAAAAATTGTCTCAGATCGACCCGGAAAAAAATTTTCTTATAGAATGTGGCCTGTAGAATCCATAATTTCAAACAGTTCCAAGATTGGGCTACTAGTTCAAAAGTTACAGCCCTTTGAATTTTTTTTCGAAATTGGTTTCTAGTCTATAACTTTTGATTGAGAAGTCTGATCGAAAAAGTACGAATTGTTTTGGATTCTACGCACCAAAATTAATAAGAAAAAGTGTTTTCCCGAGAAATTTTGGTGCAGTCGATTTTTGGTAAAAAAGGAAGGTTATACACTGCCTTTTTTTGAGCCCCGAAAAAAAAATTGTCTCAGATCGACCGGAAAAAAAATTTTCTTATAGAATGTGGCCTGTAGAATCCATAATTTCAAACAGTTCCAAGATTGGGCTACTAGTTCAAAAGTTACAGCCCTTTGAATTTTTTTCGAAATTGGTTTCTAGTCTATAACTTTTGATTGAGAAGTCTGATCGAAAAAGTACGAATTGTTTTGGATTCTACGCACCAAAATTAATAAGAAAAAGTGTTTTCCCGAGAAATTTTGGTGCAGTCGATTTTTGGTAAAAAAGGAAGGTTATACACTGCCTTTTTTTGAGCCCCGAAAAAAAATTGTCTCAGATCGACCCGGAAAAAAAAATTTTCTTATAGAATGTGGCCTGTAGAATCCATAATTTCAAACAGTTCCAAGATTGGGCTACTAGTTCAAAAGTTACAGCCCTTTGAATTTTCTTTCGAAATTGGTTTCTAGTCTATAACTTTTGATTGAGAAGTCTGATCGAAAAAGTACGAATTGTTTTGGATTCTACGCACCAAAATTAATAAGAAAAAGTGTTTTCCCGAGAAATTTTGGTGCAGTCGATTTTTGGTAAAAAAGGAAGGTTATACACTGCCTTTTTTTGAGGCCCGAAGAAAAAATTGTCTCAGATCGACCCGGAAAAAAAATTTTCTTATAGAATGTGGCCTGTAGAATCCATAATTTCAAACAGTTCCAAGATTGGGCTACTAGATCAAAAAGTACAGCCCCTTTAATTTTCTTTCGAAATTGGTTTCTAGTCCATAACTTTTCATAACTATTCAAATACCTTGCGAAGTATTCGAATACTTTACGAAGTATCCAAATACTTTGCGAAGTATTCGAATACTAAATATTTGTGAAAGTATTTGAGTTACAAATAGAAATACTGCTTCTATAAAAGTATTTAATTACAAAGTATTTGAATACTGGCTGGGGAATTTGATGCAAATTACACATACCTAGTATCAAGAGCAACTGCCAAAGTGCTTAATATTATGCCACGAAATTGATACCACGTGTAGATGATGAACTGATTTATAGCATGATATAGTTGCATTATGACTTTGATGAGTAATAAGCACGTAATAAATTGCCAAAATACTGCAATTTTTCAGGGAAGAAATGCTTTCTTGTGAGGTGATATATTGCTTGCATCAACTTCAAATTACCGTCATACAGTACATAAGGGTTGATATTAATGATTTGCCAACATATAGGCATATAAGGCTTCAAATAAGAGAGCTGTCCTTCACACTAGTTTACCCTATCATTGCTTATGAGAATAAAAATGTAAAGTGTGCTTAAGACGGAAATTCCCTGCCCTTTTAAAGGATGTGAATACTAAAAAGTATTTACAAAATCGAATACTGCCCAGCTCTGCTTGGAATAAAGTGGGATAAAAACATTTACTCCATGCTATTTAATATGACTTTACTATACTTATGTAGTTCCTTTCCAACCAGCTGCCATTATTAAAAGCTATTAATTTAAGACCACCTTAAAATATTTACCGAAGGTGGTACAATAAATTTAAAGGTGATTGTGTAGAAGTACTAGTATATTTATTAGTTGTGTATTTTTGTAACAGGATCTATAGTCGGTATCCTGTCAGAATTATTTATGAACAACGTTTGGGATAAGGGTTGCAAGGGCTAGTTAAGAGGTTTCTTTAGTTTACACCCTTTCTAACACGCCGCTCTGTAGGGGTAAGTCATAAAATTTAACTACCTAAACAAAGTCGCATGTATCTTCATTTGTATTCGTTTGACACGTGTAAATAAACAATCCATTTTTTTCGGCTTGATATTGTTTACGTACCCAAAAAAAACGGAACAAGCGGTTGCAATTTTGATAACATTGGGTTATCGTGCAAAATATAAGCCAGTTTCTTATCAGGGTCAGTGCACTTTCGGATTGTTCTATAAATTTACGTACGTACGTCACGGAAAAAGTATACAACCTGGTTGACGGTGCCTCATTAAAAAAAGTAAGAAGCGCACACCCACCATAAATCCCAATCCAATTTAGCTAAAAATATAAATAATCCGGCCCTGCTTTAACATGTTTGTATTCTAGTTATCTGTAATTTCGCTATTCTTCCCAGTAAATGCGTACAGATGTATTATCAAAGATGGTGTTGGGGTCTACATTATTCAAACGCCAGAATCAATAGCGTTGCCATGTGTAACTACATAAGAATATTTTGGTCCAGAAACGCAAAGAAACAGATTTTGCATTCTCATTTGAAGTAGGTAGGCGATGGTTACGTTTTTTTGTAACTGGCTGTAGACACTTTGTCAGAAAAACGCGTACGCCTTTCTGCTCTTTCTTTCTAATTCCTTTTCCATCAATCTGAGTAATACATATATACGCAGTCGATTGTTACCGACCCTGTTCTGAAACCCATTTGTGTTTCTTCCGACATCTTAATTTCCTTATAATTTCCCATAAAAACTTTGTTCCCTCTTTTGAAGATCGGCCCATAATTACCCCTTTCTACAACTCTTCGGGTAAACCGTTTCTCTCTGCCGCTTTCCCTTTCTGAGTTTCTTTAGTCTTTTTAATTGCAGCTCGATCTCCTCTCTTGTCATCTCAGCTCCTTCCCCCTCCACCCTTCCTACCTCATAAATAGCCTCCTCTTTCTCCTGCTTTCCTTGTAGTAACCATTCCTCTAATATTGTATTTCTCTCCCACTGTATAACTTTCCAAAAATCCTTTTCTGTTTTTATTTCTCGGATATGCTCTTCGGTTTCCGCATCTTCGTTTCTTTTGTACTTTTTGTGTTCTCTCATCTTTTTCTCCTCTATTTCTCCGTTTCTTTCTCTCTCCATCATTTCTTTATATCTATTTCTCTTTCCTGTAGCCTCATTTGTTCCACCACTCCTTTTTTCTCTCCTCTCTCCTTCAGTTATTTGTTTCCACGTTATGGCTTGTTTAATACTCTCCTTTATATTATTCCATTCCTTCTCTGTATTCCCTCCATTTTCTTTTCCTTGTTGCTTTAGTTTCGCTCTATACATCTTTACCGTGTCTCTGGGCCATAACCGTAACTCCTTTCGTCTTTGCGTCATTTCATCTCTTGATCTTCTTATCTTCCCTTTTAGGTTCAGTTCCATCGATTTGTGATCCGATTCTATCCTTGTTCCTATCTTAAATTCTATTTCTTCCAGTATTTTTTTATTTACTATTACGTAATCAATTACCGGCCTCCCTCTTCCCCCAATGTATATTAATTGCCCGTCCCTGTCCCCGTCCATATTTCCGTTTAAAATTCTCCTTTCTGATAATTTCAGTAACACTTCTCCCTCTTGTTGCACTCTTTATCCCTTGATTAAAATCCCTTCCTCTTCTCTTTCATCTACCATATTTTCTATTTTATAAGTAATTATAATCAAGTCCTTCATTCCTTCTCTGTTGTACATCGTTATCGCCATCATTTTCTTTCCTTCTATACCATCTACTCCCCCAGAATATCATTTTCATGTTGCCCTTCATTTTTATTTGGGTTTTCTGATTTTTTCTGTTGTTTGTGTTTGTAACCCGTTCCTCCTCCACTCTATATTCTCGTTTGCTATTAGTCTCTCTCTCCAAATCCAGCCTTTCCTCTCCCGTGCCGATGGCCACTTAATGTCTGAACCTGAATATCTTCCATTTGTGCATTGCGAATTTAGTTACAACTGATTACAGCATGTTTGTGTTCATTATGGGAAACATCCCCCCCTTCCCCCACAACTTCGATCGCAATGCAAAACTGAATTAATTAAAGCACAAAAATGAACAGCAGACCTACAACGGCAAGACATTCCATCCTTAAAATTGAACTCCATCGAAAAGACGCTAATTAGGTAATCTCAAAAAGGATCTTCAAATTAAAGGCTTTGGTATAATTTGCCCGCGTGTTGTGGTAAACCCCTTATGATATCTTCTTTTTTGTTAGCCAGGAGTAGATTTTTCCGTTCACTCATAACATCGAATAGTCTTGGAAATAAGAATTGTTGATGAGGAATGCTTATACAGTTGAATTGAAGCAAATTATTATTGACTAGAGAGGAACAAATTCCACATTTTATGAACCTTCACAGCTTTCTACAATGAGTAACAGTGAAGTAAAGAAGTAGCTAATTTCGAGTTGAGATCTACTAATTATTTGTAGCAAGGATATTTTAGGCAATAGAGATCTTTAATGCCGACGCAATTGGCAGACGCAGTTAGTTGGGTTTGGTAAAACAGGAAGCTTTATTAATAAAATTTTTTAAAGACATTTTGAAAAAGAACTTGAGCCTAAACCGATCTCAAAAATATCAATGTGTTAAGGGTTGATTAGTAGGTACATCTTTAAACTTTTCTGAGTATGCACTATTACTGTCATTTAATTTACCTGAAAATTATTCAAATAACATAAATAAACAGCATTGATCGAACAATTACTAGAAACCAATGTGAACAAAGGCGCAGAAATCGCATTCTTGTTTAAATAAATATATATTTCCATGACTGTTACGATAATTGCTCTGACAATACAATAAAATTTTTCAATTGAGCAAATTCAATAAATTTTAATGTAAACGGTAAATTCACATTCGTAAAAAGTTTCTGTTTATAAGAAATTAAAAAAATATTCACTATGAAACAAATAAAAATAACGCTTAAACTGCATAATAAAAATACAACTATAAAAAACTTAACTTATTTAGATTTTACTTGCGCTTTTATCATTATGCAATAATATAATTACAAATAGACAAAATTTACAATCGGGGTACCTTGAAAGGCAATACGTAACGAAATTCTCCCACTAGGAACATAAATTGGTACCATATTAGGCCGCTCCCGAACAAAATTATCACCACAGTAACTCAAACAAGCCTAACATTACTATCACACGTTTTACAAAAATGCAGGTATCACGCGCACATATAGGTAGGTGGTATTGTAAACGATTCATTACTAAAACGACGTCTTTCAAATATTCCATAAAAGTAAATGGTTTGTTGAATCTTCGCGGCCCGCAACTTCGGAAATGTTGGAACTGCGAAAGTCCTCATATCCGTCGCCTCCAGATATTACCAACAGTTTCGAATTTGTTCTTTGATCAGGTTTGCCTTTATAGGAATACCGTTGATGAGTATTTTCTGAATTTGCAGTTGGATACTCCACATTGGTCAAGAATCTTACGTGACCAGTGTGACCATAGGATACGCCTACCACGCTTGGGGTACTGTTCATCTTTGTAGTGGTTGGGGTAATGTGTGGTAGTGGCATTGTTAGTAGCACCCCTGCAGATGTTCCAATCCATAGCAGATCTTTACATGCTAAGAGAGAAGTAACTCGCAAGCATGCCGCTTTGTGTTGCCGAATGATGTCATCGCAGCCTAGAAAAAATTCTTATTTAACTATGACAATTTTCCTTTAAAGCATTAAGTAAGGGCAGGTCTTTCATGGTTAAACCTATCTGATGGAGAATGAAAATTAACTGTGTCAGATGGATTTAACGGCAAAATGAACGATCGGTCCTTAGTGTGATAAAAATTGTGCGAAGCTCCTAAAGGACTACCGCGGTATATTTTTTTTTATTATTTTTGGCATGGCAGATCAGTTTAGTAGCTAAATCGCAAAACGTGCTAAATTCAAAAATATATCATGCTCGCCTCTTTTTTCGCATTTTTTTCACGAAAACGTTCAACTCATGATTAGTATATTCCGAATCTATTTTTTGATTTTTCCTGTCGTCGATTTGCTCTTGCAGCACAAGATAAGAAGTTTACAAGCAAGAATCGAGACATGAGGTGAAGTAAAAGAAAGATTGTCAAGATTTTTGTATTGAAAAAATGGCGAACCAACGACATATAGCGCTATTTCGTATAAATGTGTATGGAGATAACTATTAAAGAAGGAATTTTAAAATGTTTATTGTTACTACCAATATGTCGAAAATATTTTTTTGGTACAATAGCACGTTTAAAATCATATTGAATTTTGTTATTGTTAAAAATGAGCAAATGTATTATTCAATGATTTTTTTAATGTTGCATAACGACTTAACAAAAACGATCTCTAAACCGAAGAAATTATACGCAAATTTCACACAAATTCGAAGAGGAAACAGAGATAGACATCGATTGTTAGATCGACATCATAAATAGCAGAAATAGCAAAACAATTAAAACGTCAAAGATAGAAAACAGGAATTCGTCAATTTTATATTGGTTTTGTTTTATTTATGGCCTTAAGTCCGGTGCGATATTGTAATTTTTAAGCCGCAGTAGTTGAGGATAGGTATTTTTACCTAAACCCCCTTTGCTACTAAATCTGCGCAATGATTTCCTAGCTATCAAGTACAAACGCCACTTATATTTTCCGGCTGAAAGGATGTTAAGATGTTTTAAAAGGACGATGCTAGTGTGGAATCACTATTCGAGTTAAGTCTTTGAATATAAAATTTTATATTCAAAGGTTAGGTGTAGATGCATTTCAACTGAAATACCCGTACCTAAGGTGGATTCAGCGAAAAAGTTAACATTTCTCATTAACGCTTAGGGGAGTTTCCAATGTTATTGCGATAAATGATATTATTGAATTTGAATCTTAAATGTAAGGGAAAAACCGCAGTCTTACGGTCGAAAGTTGTTCAATACAATCCTTACGGATTGTTTAAATGAATAGAACAATAGATACCAATCACACTATTCATTTAAACAATCCACTATATTACAACATTCTTCGCATTACAGGTTACAGTACCATTGCCATTGTAGTGCCAGTTTTGCGGATTACTAGGAGCACTGTTCAGAAACTAAAACCACGCATGTTCAATGTTGCTATTTAAAAAAACAGTTCGAAGCCTTTGCGGCGCTTCAAAATTTTTTTCAAAAATCTGGCCCAGTATTTTTCGTTTCCGTATGACTAATATACATATCCAAAATTTGAACAAAGCCGACGTACGTACATACATACAGACGGAAAAATTGTATTCTTTAAAAGTTGCTTCATTCAAATATCGACATTTGATGAAATTTTGACATGTCTAAAAAACGGTGGTCGTAATAGCCACCTAGCTCAAGAAGCTAAAAATTGCATTCTGGAAACTTAATCGTTTTGTGATTAATTACTAAATGAATTAATCAGACATAAAATAGTGAACGTGTTATCCAAAGTCGTCTTTTATGGTGTCAATGAGAAGCAATTCTTAAAAGCTTTCCAAAGATGTGCTGCAATTGCAACTTCCCAATTAAACCGAAGTTTAAAAATATTTACTTTAGGCGCTTCGTCGTCAAAATGTCTATCAATCAGCAACCACAATGTATCAAAGATGTGACTAACGCATTTGCCTAGAAATAACTACTTACGGATTCATAAATTCCATACTAATTTTTCTCGTTTCTGGTGATAAACATACACTTGCGTTTGGAACTTCTCCAATAAAGGAATTCACTCATAACAAAATTATTTTAAATATTATTTCTAAAAGAGTACCTAATAACATATACATTATAGGCGTGCCCAAAAGATTTCCCTTACGCTAATAATGTAAAAAAGTATAGGTGCGCATAGCTTGTTTGTGAAACTCAGCTGTAATCACAAGTAAAAAACCAAAAACGATGAATTTCTTACTAATTCTAGTAATATGAGAGCTGGAAATTGATCAACTATGAACGCAACAGGGTACTAAGCACCGACGACGCACACCCATTTTCAAAAACCGTACCAGTGCCCACTTGCACTTTTTTTCTCTATCCTACTTCGACCGAGGAAATTCTCAAATACTTTGAAGACTAGGGTGTCATCATATCTAAAAGATAATGATTTGCTAAACCCTAGTCAGTACGGCTTCAGGAAAAACCGCTCCACTACCAAGGCAGTGCTCAAATTGATGCAACAACTGGTGAACAATTTGGACGATGGAAAAATCTCTCAAATCACACTATTTGATTTATCGAAAGCCTTCGATTGTGTCCCGCATAGTGATGTGGATTGTAAAATAACGATTTGTAAGTTACATAAAAAACGGTTATATTACGCGTAACTTACAAGAGGTCGGTTTTTTAATGTAATTTATGTCTTTTATCAAATTTACGTAACTTACGTTTTTTATTTAAAAAAACCGTAATTTTTGTAAGTTACATCAATGTAATACCTATTTGATACATTTTGATCGGTACTACCACAGACCATCAACGGTACTACCAACGTAAACGATTCACCGTTGAATCTAGTATGGTTTAATGATGATGATACAGCATCTAATTCGCGATCTGGAACTTCTTCTTCCAAATGACGCGTGATGGCGAAATACCTACTGCTCGGGTATTTTATTTAATACACCAAAATATATAATTTAACAAGTGTTTTTGTTTTCAAACACTCACAAAATTCAAAAAGGTTTATGGAATATTAAAAAAAACATAAAAAACATAAATGACAGGTAATTTTACAAAAATATTTGTAAATTACGTAAAAAACATAAATTACTGGTAATTTTACTGTAAAATTACGGTTTTTTTTAAAAAATGGTAAGTTACATAAATTACATAAAATACATAAAAAACATAAACAATTGGTAATTTTACACGTAATATTACACACTTTAAAAAAAACGTGTAATTTAACATCACTAGTCCCGCATGATATCCTTGTAGCGAAATTGGAGTATTATGGATTAAGTGGCACTTCGCTAAAGCTCTTTAAGTCATATCTCGAATAGCGTGTGTATTAAAGGCGTCTATTCAAACTGCAGTACAATAAAGGCGGGGGTGCCGCAGGGCTCAGTGCTTGGGCCAATCTTGTTCATCACCTTCATTAATGACTACAATATATTACCTAATACTTGCGTTTTATTTGCCGATGGCACAACATTGCTATCATCAGCTCATAAAAACAGTGAACTATAACATAAAACCTACGAGTGTGAGAAATTGGCCGAAAACTGGTTGACCAATAATCGCCTCATATTAAATAGTAATAAGACTCAACAGTTAATTGTAACCTCCAACACTTTATTACTGAAGGGTGACAATGTTACGCTACTTGGAATTAAAATTGACTAGTCGCTAAATTGGTCAGCACGTGTCGAATCTCTTACCAAGAAGCTACAAAAAAGGGTGATTCGCATTATAGCTCGCAAACCTTGAATAACGCACTGCCGTCCATTGTTTATTTCATTACCAGTGTACTACGAACATTCACGACTACAACACGAGAGCCAGAGGGACGTTGCGAGTTGCGACTACCCCGACATCGCATCAAGATGTCTGATATGAATGGAGTGAACTTGAAACTTTACCTGATAATGTCAAAGCACTCGACAATAGACAATTTAAAATCAAAGTAACCAGTAAAGCATATATTCAGTCAATGAATTTTTAAGCATACAAATATCACCGACAGACATATTATAAACTCATAGATGGTACCTACAATAGACTTATTTTGTACGTCTACTTATGCGACGTTTATATGTATGTACCTACCTAAAATATTATTTATGTAGGTACGTATATGTTAAATGTAAAATCATTGTATCGTATAATGTATATTTATGTCGTATATGTTACTTTGTATGTTACGTTTTATATGTTATGCTTGACGTGTCACAAACACATTTACCAGATATGCAACGTGGTAAATAATAAATGAAATGAAAATGAAAAGTGATTTCTCAAAACCCTTCGGTAGTGTTGTTCCCAAGTTAAAAGGAGTGTAGACAGCAAATTACGTGCCCATTGTAGTTGTCCGGCAAAGAATTGCAGTTTGGATTCTTTAATTTTTTGAAAAATTCACACAGACGAAATTTTGTTGAGATTAGAATTTATATTCGAGGGGTATCTCACGGGGCGGTTTTTCGTACAGACGAAAGGAGGTACATGGGCGATCCAGGGAGGTGCAGGGTGATCTGGGGTGATCCAAGGCAGTCCGGGGTTATCCGGGGCGACCTCGCGGCGATCCCAAAGCGATATCGGGGAGATCTGGGGCGATCCGGGATAATTCAATAATAAATCAAATTAGATCTCCTAATGTTTGTTCAGAGCCCCAGTGTCATGTAATTGGAATTATTATTCTGTATGGTTTCTGGTTAAACAAATAAATAAATAAATAAAGAAATAAATACCGAGTTCAGTTCGTGATAATTCGAGTAAGTTCGTCACTGTTAGCTACTAGCGACTAGCGAGCATATTATACTCTGGAAAATTCTCGAGAAAATTGCGCAGCCATCTAACGTTGACGAGGTCGGTTGTTTTACGTACCTACTTACTGGTGATTACTTAATTTCGAGCTTAATTTTGCTCAAATTGTGTGAATCGAGGTATGAATCGATCTGATTGATGCGAGGATTGATGTGAACGAGGATATAAACCCGTAAGTGTGTATTCATTTTGCGTGATTATAA